CCTTGGACTCCCAGTCCCCCTCCAGGCTTCCCAAAGCCTTGTCTGCATAGAGTAGGGAGCACCAGCCAACCTCACTCCCTGTCCCAGTCCATCTCCTCCAAGGGCTCTGGGCCTCTCTCCAGGACAGCCCCATGTAGGGGTGGCACAGGAATCTCCTTGACATAGGTCCCATCTCTGAAAATCATTGTCTTCAAGTCTATTTGGGGACTTGACTGTGGCATCAGTGCGAAGGGGGAGACCTTCATCATCTTCTGCTTTCTCCATGCCTCCAGCTCCTAAGGGGCAGGTACTCAGGAACAGCCCTCATGGGTCCTCCCCATGTGGCCTCAGGGAACCCTCTGTCCTCACTAACCATGGACTCTGCAGATGTAGCCCAGCACATTGGTGGGAGGTTGATGTCAGGATGGACAGGGTTGCTGCCCTAGCCATCCCAGCATCTCCCATGGTTTTGTCCCCAAGCTTTTATCTTATTCCCATCCCTGCCTGCCAGGGTACTCATCTCTGAGCCTAACTTCAGCATCGGAGCCAAAGAGCACAGATCCCAAGACCCCAACCCAGACCCCTGCACCCAAGGAGAGGCAAACCTAGGCTACAGAGCACAGCCAGCCCAGAGCTCCGGGAACACACAGAGAAGGACACAGCCTGCCACTCAGCCTAGAATGAGGATCCAGGACCTCAGGAGCCCAGCTCTACAGCCTGTAGAGCCACCAAGGACAAAACCCAGCTATGTGAGCTTGGTCCCTCCAGCCAAGAAGCCACCCTTCGAATCTGTCAAATATCTCATAGGGACTGTCCTGATTCGGGTCTTCAGGTAGTCCCTCATCATTACCTCCCGCATCCCTTTGTTCTCCTCTCAGAAGTAATTGCCTTTAATAAAATGTGTGCCTGTCCTCCTTTGATTGCAAACCTACAGAGCTCTTAAATGGACTGGCTGGAGTCCTAGCCAGCTCAGAGGATGTTTCTGCAAGGAATGAACAGGTGTCAATGGTGCAGTTCTGCATGCTGCCACCAGAGGGCAGGATCACCCCACACTCATGGGACCATGGTGGGCACCCACAGGTGAATGGAAGTCTTCTTTTCCCCTGGGTTGGTCACTTTTCTGTACAGAGAAACTCCATTATCTGCTTGGGAGTAATGTGTGAGGACACCTTTATCTCTGGCAGCTCAGCAGTGGGAGGGGCTGTTGTGGTTTCACCTTCGGATGGAACCCAGTGCCTCACATGTGCTAGGCAAGTGCTCTACCACCAAGCCACAACCCCAGCCCAGGGAAGCTACTTTCTAATGAAGTCTGTGTGTTTATTTTGATACTTCAGCTGTGCTGACTCCTGCAAGTTCAGGGATTTTCCTATAATGGGGGTAGGGAGCATCACAGGAGACAGCACCTAGACATGATGGAGTCGGGGAGGTCAGAATCTGGGGCTGGTGGGGTCAGGCCAGGAATTGAGAGGAGACAGTCTGGTTGGCCAGGCCCTGGAAGCTGATCCTAAAAGAAAACAACACTGTTAGATGGAAGAAATAAATTTATTTCTAAATGGTGCTGGTAGTGTTCTGGTGAGGGCATATGTCTGTCCCCTGCCAGGGCATGTGTGTCCACCTCTATCCCCTACAGCAGCGTATGCAGCCAGGAAGGGACAAGAAGTGGGTCTTGGGAGTGGGCGGGGAAGCCCCAGGACCCCTGCCTGGCAGGTCTTCTTAAGGGGTCCTGGGGCTGTGGCTCTCAATGCCTTTCACCCAATCAAGGGTCTTCTCAGCTTCTAGGAGGCATCGTCGCATTAGCACAGAGGACAGCCAAAGTCCACGAGCAGGTTTGGGTCCACTGACATGCCTCTGTCTCCTCCAGCTTGGGCTCCTGGTGAAGAGGGACAAGCTGGGTTTCCTGTTGCTGACCACAAGAGATGCAGTTCTCCAGCCAGGACTCTGCATGCTCCGTGTTGTGACAGTTCCCGGAGAGGTACCAAAGTCCAGGAAGAGAGAAATCTGTCCCTGCCCACAGCAGGTCTTCTGACTCTATTCGCTGAGCCCACCCTGGAGACTCATCTGGAAACTCACCATGTCCTTACCCTACCCTGACCCCATGGCAACAGCTTAAACTGAACCTCCCCCAGCATTGGGCTGGCGTCCCCAGCAGTCCTCTGAGTCCCTCACTTCAGTTCATTCTCCATTCTTTTTGCGTGTATGGAGTATATTTATACTAGCTGTTTGAATGTCCTTGTCTTTAAAAAAAAAACATTTTTAGTTGTAGATGAACACAATACCTCTATTTGATTTATTTTTTTATGTGGTGCTGGAAATTGAACCCAGTGCTTCACACATGCTAGGCAAGTAGCCACCATCCCAGGCCCTTAATGTTCTTGTCTTCTGATATCATTTTGTCATTGTTGGGTCTCTATTAATTTTTCTCCTCATTACAGGTGGTATTTTTCTGCATCTTTTGCCTGCCTGGCAGAAATGCTTTTTTTTAAAAATTGAAAACTAGGTATTTTGAATTTTATGCTTTTAGGAGCCAGAATTTTTTTTGGTATTAATTTAAATGTTTTGAATTTGGAATGCATTTAGTTTACTTGGAAACAGTTTAATCTGGCTTGCCTTTAACTTTTTTTTTTTTTGGTAGTTGTAGATGAACGTATGCCTTTATTTTATTTATTTTTTTGTGGTGCTAAGGATCAAACCCAGTGCCTCACATATGCTAGGTAAGCGCTCTGCTGCTGGGCTCCAGCCCAGCCTACCTTTAACTTTTTAGGCAGGGCCAGAATACTTTTCAGAACTAATGGAACCCAATCAAATCCTTCTGAGTCTTAAAGCTGTAGCTGATGAGATTATGTGTTCCTGATGTTGGAAGATGAAGGGTTTCTAGCCTTGTGTGAGCTCCAGAGATTTCTTTCTGCCCTTTCTGGGAAGTTTCTCCATATCAGGTAAGTTATGGAATTCAGAGCAAATCTCTGAGGCTCAATGCAGCTCTGTCTGGTTGCATACCCTGCCCACTTCTTGAGTTCCCAACTGGAACTGAACTCGGGGAGACCACCTAGCTGTTTGGTCAGGGATCACTATTCTGTTCCTATTGTTTAATGCCTGAAAGCCAAGATTTTTGTCCAGTTTTATAGTTGCATACAGCAGGAGTATACAACTGGTTCCTGTTATTCCATAATGGCTTGAATGAAAGACAAAAGGTCCAATTTTTATCTTTTAGGCAGACTATATCTTTATAGTGGATTATACCTTAGGTATTTTAAAATTTCACTATATGATTAGGTGCGGACATGTCTCCTGTTTGGAGCACCAACTCCTTTTCAATCTGAGGCCTCCCCAACCCCTCCTATGAAATTATCACTATTTCCTTCCCTTTACTTTTGAATTTGGAGACTTCTCCCTTTAGAGACTTCCTCGTTGAAATCATTACCTTTAACCTTTTCACGTCACATTTCCGAAGCCCTCTGATAAAACTCTTTGCTATCTACAGTATTTCCAGCTCATTAACCATAGGCTGATCTACTGAGTTTTTATTGGTTAGACATTTTACTTTTTAACCACTTATTTCTACACCACATTACCAATGTCATTATTTTTTTTTTGAGAATGTTTAGCCTAGGGGGTTCAGTTTGTTCTTTTATGACTAAATTCCTCAGAATTTTGGTTATTCTTGCCAGAACACATTCTTTATCGGGAGCTCTGCAATCTTGACTGGAAGAGCCCAGCCCTTTTCTTTTGCCTGGGGTGGAAGAAGGCCAATCGTGTTTCTGCCTCTTAGAATGAGTTTATGCAGGACACATATGGCTCCAAACAGCATCAGTCTGATTACCTGTTCACTGCTTCTGACAACCATGCTGCCAGAGGAAACCCCAGCCCTTTCTTCTGTTGCCTGAAAGCTTTGCTCCTGCAGTGCAGGGAAGCTGCTTCAGGCTGACCACTCTACCTGCATTTGCTTTATCCGATTCTTACTCCTGCCAGGCTCAGGTCATCCTGGAAGCCAAGCTAAGTGCTTGGATTTCTTTTCCACTGTTCATCAGGTTGGGCAACATGTGACCTAGAGGCCACATCTTCCTCTACAGAGACCATCACTGTCCCATCTGCCTCCCAGAGGACTTTTGACATTATTTTCACTCCATGCTCTTTGTTCACAAATTGGCAGTTCTAAGGGAGATTGCCAAATTGACAGAAATCACAGGAGTTTAATTTCCATAATATGAAAGGGAAATCTTTTTTGTTATGATTGCTTCTTGACCAAGAATGTGGCTACATTTTTTTTTTTTTTTGGTGGCCTCCACAGGATTGAATTTGGGGAATATTGCAACACCACTGGGCTGCCATATACTTCCCCTTTCTGAAGAGCTTGTTTTCCCCATCTATCAATATAATTTGAGATGGATTAAGGAAGAGTGGGTGAGTTTTTGGTCTCAGACATGTCATCTTCCATTCATGTCATTTGCATATTTGTAGAGACAAAACTGACTTCAACTGACCCCAAGTGGCTGTAAAGATGGGAATGGATGGGGACAATCTCACAATGAAATGAACAGGATTTTCGTGGTGGGGAAGGGGGAGAGCCTGGCTTGACCAGATGCTTAGTGGTTATGACCCATGGAATGAGAACAAAGTTAGCCACTGTTGGGAAGTCATACCCCCAAGATCCACTCGACCCCTTTTCTCTTCCTCTAGCAAGTAATGCATTATAATCTCACACTTCAAACTTGATCCACTATGAAAAATGCAAAATAAAAACTACATCAAATGTCATTTTGCTCGTGCTCTTCATAAGCTTAGGCAAGTGATTTTTAAAAAATGGGCACAAACTCTTAAAAATTGCTCGTTTCTTTCACTTCTGTTTGTGCTGTTAATAATATCAATTTACCAAAAAGGTTAACAGAAAACCTTTTAAACATTTCATCAAATCAAACTGACCATTATTTATATTTACCCCCCCACCCACCAAAAGCTCAACTTTTTTTGGTAATGGTTAAGATATATCTCAAATTCAGAAATTTGAAAAACAATTTGACAAAATATGAAATGGTACACATTAGCTTCTTTATTGAAGAGGCAGCTCAGATTCATATTATATATGCAAAAGTGTGGAATGACAAAATATGTAATGACCATTTAACCTTTTCCTTAAAATATACATCAAGGTAAGCTTTAAGGACACCGTGTAGGAAATCTTAGTAGACACCTTTAAAACTACTATAGAGTATTTCCTACACAGAATTATGCAAAATCTACCATTTAATTCCTGTTATGTAGCATATTCACATACATTTAGAAAAATATCTTGAAAGAGTGAACTAGCCATTTGGTTTACAAAAAAACTTTTTATCAAAGTGTAATATACATGCAGAAAAATACACCTCTTAAGTAAATAGCTCAGAACAGACATTCAGCATCCAGATTTAGAAACAATTATCAGCACCAGATAAACACCCCTATTAAACACTGGCTGAGGCTATGGATTTCCAACTGCATAGACAAATTTTGCCTGTCCTCATACTTTATGTAGCATCATGTAGTCTACTTGCATGTCTGGACTTTTTATTCAGAATTGTGAAATTCAGCAACATTGCTCTGTGGACTTAAAAGTTCAATCATTCTCAATGCCCTACAGTATCTTGCTGTGAAAAAATACCACTTTATTCAACTTAATTACATCTTAAGATAATTCTGGGGTTTCTTGCAGTTTCATAGTATGCATATTCAAGCATATGTCCTTTGGTGGACACACATGTGCATATCTGCCTGACCTGGGTAAGGGCTATACCCATGTTTAGCTGTTAAGTGCCAACTTTCCAAAACAGTTTTTATCAGAGAGCAATTTCACTAGTACAGTAGAGTTCCTGTTGCTTACGTGCTTATTAAACCTCGTGCTTTCTCATGCCTTCAATTTTAACCATCTCAGAGGGTGGTAGTAGTAGTAATATTATTTAAAATTTCCATTTCCCTGATTACTAACAAAGCTAAAATCTTTTCAGGGTTACTGGTCATCTCTGGATGTTGTTTTTTGAGAAGCGGACAACCAGATCTTTTGCCCATGTTCCCCTTTGTTCCTTTATATTCCAGAGAAAACACAAGAAAGCCACAGGATGTAGGGCAAATCCTGTCCCCTGTGCTTGTGAATAAAGCTTTACTGGGAAACAGCTGTGCACGTTTAATTATGAAGTATATTTGGCTGCTTTCATACTAAATAGCAACTAACAAATAGTTGGGCAGGTATGACAAAGCCCAAAATATTTACTGATTCCTCATTTTTAAAAAAGTACCCACGCTTTTTCTACTCAATTGTCACATATATGAAGACACATATATCTTGTACATTTTAGTTTCCTATTCACCTTCGTAATGGTGTCTGATAACAAGTTCTTAAAGTTAGTATATTCAAATTAACAAAACTTTTATAGTTTAATGCTTTTGGATCCTAAGAAAACTTTGCTTAATCTAAGGCTTTAAGATTCTGAGGTCTTATTAATAAAACATACATTTCATATTTAGATCTATAAACTATCCAAAACTGATTTCTCCGTTTTGTTAAAATTATGCAACTTGATGGGAAAAAACCCATTTATTGGAAAGAATAACCTTTTCCCCAGTGCACTTCTCCATCATTTTTGCACAACTGTGTATGTATGGGTCTATTTCTAGAACCCCTATATTCTGTTCAGTTGGTGTTTCCTTTGTGCCAGTATCACACTATCATAATTCAATGGCTTTATAGCAGGCATTGGTACAAGGGAATAAAAATTCTCCAGTTCTGTTTTCCAAGACAGCCTTGACTACTATTGGCCCTCTTGACTGTTCATACAAACTTTCAAATTAGCTTGCTAATTTCCATTAAAGAACTTTCTAGGATTTTAAGATTGCACTGAATATGATTTAGGGAAAACTTTATCCTGAAATCTGCAAACAAAATACATCCCTCTCACTGTGCTATGATTTTTTTCCTAGATAAAAATTCTTGAAAATGTTAAATTTTCCCTTAGGCACTTGAGGATTTTTTAAGTGGTATTGCTTTTAAATTTTTTATTTTATTTGCTGGTATAGTGAAAGAGAATTTTTGCAATATGACCTCAGGTTCAGGGACCTTGCTTTTTTTTTTTTTTTCCCCAGAGCTGGGGATCAAACTCAGGGCCTGATGCATGCTAGGCATGCACTCTGCCACTGAGCTACTTCCCCAGCCCTCAATTTATTAATTCTATCTCTCAGAATATTCTATGTGCAAAATCCCATTATCTGAAGAGGTTTTACTTCCCTTCCAATCCTTATGCCTTTGCTGTACTTGCCTTACTTTCCTGGCTAGGTCGTCCTACATAATGTTGAATAAAAATTGGAGACAGTGAATATCCTCATCTATATTTTCATCTTGGGAGAAAATTTCATTTTATCACTAAGTATGCTGTTTGTTGTAGTTTAAGTTATTCTTTATCCAATTAAGGAAGTTCAATTGTATTTAGCCAAGATCATAGTGGATATTAATTTTATCACATTTATTTCCTACATACCAGACCACTTTTCTTCATGTGATCACAGTTTTTTTTAAATTTCTTCTTCTTTATTTTTTTGGTGGTGCTGAGGTATTGAAACCAGGTCCTTATGCTTGCTAGGCAAGCAAACTACTAGTCATCAGATCCTCACTTTTGAATATTTAGTTACCTTGCATTCTTGGAGTATGACATTGCTAGGAATAAATTCATTTTCCAGAACAAATCCATCTCCATTTTGTTTGTTCAGGTGTGGGTCATGTGAGCACTATAAACAAGTTACAGAAATCCCTCCACACCTGAGGTTTTTGGGATCAATTACAGTTCAAAAACATTAAATGAAAAATTTTAGAAATAATTCCTAAGCTTTAAGCTGTGTAACACTCAGTGATTAACTTGCTCGATCATGCCTGGGAAGTGAATCATTGCTTTGTCCAGTGAACCACAATGCATATGCTACCTGCAGCCATCATGGTAATCACATAGACTGTTAGCAGTATCAAAGTACCTATAAGGGTTTGGTAGTATTCACTGTCTCAGGCATCTGTTCAGGATCATGTCCCCTACTACTATACTGGCAATTAGAGTGGAATTGTCACTATTGGCTTAGAATAATCAGGATTTACTATCTATGTCATATAAAAAAATAGTGGGTAGCCAAACACTTCTAGCAGGAATGAGGAAAGAACACTTAAGTTAATGAACCAAAAATTGACTGCTAAAAACTCAGAGATTTGTTCTGAAATACTGGGAATAAGAGTAAAAACTCAAAATGATGCCATATTTTGATGAGATAAAAATGTGGACAAAATTTCTGAATTACATAATACTGGCACTTGACATACCTCAAAATCTGTGGATTAGAAAACAAGAGTGGTATATGGGAGTTGGGATAGTTTGTATATACGAACGGTGCAGTTTCTCTTTCACTGAAACTTCAACTCCAAATAATGAATGCATAGTTTATCAAGTGTTTTTAGATTTTCTTTTTCTTTTTTTTTTTGCTCAAGTACAGTTGAAAACTACAAAAATCACTCTCCCCTGTACTGATGAGGCAAGCATTCACTAAAATCCCACTTGCAAATTCATCTAAAGAATAGAAAATTTGGGGTGGGGATGTAGCTCAAGCGGTAGCGCGCTCGCCTGGCATGCGTGTGACCTGGGTTCGATCCTCAGTACCACATACAAACAAAGATGTTGTGTCCGCCGAAAACTAGAAAATAAATATTGAAAAATTGTCTGTCTGTCTCTCTCTCTCTCTTAAAAAAAAAAGAATAGAAAATTATGTACTTTTTTATTTTGTAACTATCAAATATTATCTCACTGACAATATGTCTTAATAGTACATTTTGCCATTCTAATACTCAAGAAATACTGACTTTTCATAAAATCACGCAAATCCAAACTTGCATAAAATTGCATAGAACTACCATTAAACTGCATTTTAAAACATGATAATAAATGCCATATATTTATTTAATGCTATTGTCCTCATGATCAATTAACTCTTAATGATTTTTAAACTTCATTTTATGCAATGAATTCAAAGCTGAGGGCTTCTGGTATCTTTCCTATAAACACTTGTTTCTACATTAGAAATATGGCTTTTGGCATTACAACTTCCAAGATAATGTTTTACACATTCATCATATTGACATATTTCTCCTTAGTATGATTCCCTGATATGTAAATACACTTTAAATCCAAAATAAATATTAAATATTTGTAAAATTCCTCCTCTGTATAAGTTATCTGGTGTCCCATGAGCTGTATGGTCTTGCTGAAGGATTTGCTTTTGTTGCACTTTTAGGGATTCTTCTTTGAAAATTCAGATTAAAATGGATCTAGCAACTCAGTGCATTTCCCCATTCAGGAGCATGAACACTCAGATGAACAATATTGGATTTCCCATATTTATTTTTCTAAAAATTGAGATTTTACTTCAGAGGTTTTCCACATCGAGTACATTCATATTCCCTCTTTTATGAATTCTCTGATGGCTATTGAAGGCTGATCTGTGGTGGAATTTTTTCCCACATTCATTACATTCATAAGGTTTCTCTCCTGAATGAGTTCTGTAATGTACAGTGAGGTATGACTTCTGAGAAAAGACTTTCCCACACTCATTACATTCATAGGGTTTCTCTCCTGAATGGCTTCTGTAGTGTACAGTGAGGTTCGACATTCGAGAGAAGACTTTCCCACATTTACTACATTCATAGGGTTTCTCTCCTGAATGAATCCGATGATGAATAGTCAGGTATGACTTCTGAGAAAAGAATTTTCCACATTCGTAACATTCGTAGGGCTTCTCACCCGTGTGTACTCTTTGATGTCTAAAAAGGGATGAGTTATGGGAGAAGGTTTTCCCACATTCATTGCATCCAAAGGGTTTCTCTTCTGCATGACCTCTGTAATGTATGGTGTAGTATGACAAATCAGAGAATGATTTCCCACATATATTACATTCATAGGTTTTCTCCCCTTTTGGAAGTGACTGGAGCTCACTGAAGGCTGAATTTTCAAGGAAGGTTTTCCCACATTCATTACATTCATAGGGTTTCTCTTCTAAATGGGTTGTATGATGATCATTGAGACATGGAAGCTGAGAGAACTTTCCACATTCACTACACTCATGGAGTTTCTCTTCTGTGTGTACTTTCCGGTGCCTAATGAAGGCTGAATTTAAATTGAAAGTTTTGCCACATTCAGTGCACTCATAAGGTTTCTCTTCTAAATGACTCCTATAATGTATGGTGAGGTATGATACCCGAGAAAAGAATTTCCCACATTCACTACACTGATAGGGTTTCTCTCCTGTGTGTGTTCTCTGATGTGTAATAAGAGTAGACTTTCGGTAGTAGGATTTCCCACACTCATTACATTTATAAAGTTTTTCTCCTGTGTGCGTTCTCTGATGGTCACTGAGGGCTGACTTACGGGAAAAGGACTTCCCACATTCGTTACATGGATATGGCCTCTCCCCTGAATGGTTTCTCTGGTGTAGGGTGAGATGTGTCTTTTGACAGAAGGTTTTCCCACACTCATTACATTCATAGGGCTTCTCGCCTGAATGGGTTCTCAGATGCTGTGTGAGATGCAACTTCTGACAGAAGGTTTTCCCACATTCAGTACACTTATAGGGCTTCTCCTCTAAGTGTGATCTCCTATGTACAGTGAGGGTTCCCTTTTGACTAAAGGACTTCCCGCATACATTACATTCATAGGGCTTCTCTCCTGTATGAGCCCTCTGATGAATGATAAATTTTGACTTTTTGCAAAAGGACTTTCCACATTCTGTGCATTCAAAGGGCTTCATTTCCATCTGTGACCTCTGATAGGCATTAAAATTTGACATCTGGATGAAATCTGGTCCAGAATCATCCCATTCATAGGGCTTCTCCCCCATATAAGCTCTCTCATGAGCAATGAAAACAGCTTCCCTGTCTAAGGCTTCCATGCACTCGTATTCAAAGGGTTTCTGCAGAATGTTTTCTTCACTTTGACAACAGGTGTCCCCATTTTGACTGAACTCATAGGATTTTTCTCCATGACAACTTTTCCCACATTCATTACACTCATCAGTTTTCTTTCTGGCATAGCTTCCATCACTACTAATTAATTCTGAAATAGATTCTAAATTCTCCCCACAGGAAACACAACTGTGAGCATTTATGTCTGAAAGAACACAGTGTGTATCCACATAAGTTTCATCAAATGCATCTCTTCTGTTGTCCATCAGGGTTTGGCTGTGCACATCACCAGCTTGCCTTGAATGTTGGTTTTCATCTTCTTGGATTCTCTCAACTATGTCATCAATTTCCCAGACTTCTGAAAAGGAACAAGATTAAACAAACCATGTGAATCTGAACAAACAACCAACAAAATGGGAGCTGATTCTGGTTTTAGGGTCAATCTCCACAAATAAAAATAACCGAGTGTATATGTCTCTTTTTCTTTGTGATAGAAAATGCACATACACATAGGGGTGGGGTAGAAGGACATGGTGAAGGAAAAGGACAGGATAGGACTCAGTGCATTTAAAAATAAAAGGAATTAATTCACATTAAATACAAGTACTTTATTACTATGTAGTATAATGTGTAAAACTTCAGTAATAAAGATGAAAGAAACTCAAGACATGATGAGCGAGAACAAAATCATTGAAAAAGTGCTGGAGTTAGGTAGAAATGAAAGGCCTTAGAGCAAAAGAGGTCAGTGGAAGACAAGAACAATGCGAAGAATATATTCAAGTCTGGATTATGTTAAGAAGAAACAGATTATAATTTATGTTAAATTGCAAGCTGTCACTTCATTCCAATACTACAACTTACCTAGACCCTTCCCAAATCTTTGTCTTTCTACACTGCACATACATCCATACAAACACTCTAAAAGCACCAGTTTCCTCATGCTTGGAGATAGTCCCATAACCAGGGATTAGAACAGTCTATGACACAAAACAAATGCTCATTAAGTTTAACCATTAACATTATTTGAATTTACTGGCATAAACTCCTCAAACCAATCATGTCCCTACCATAATACTTCCTTAATTATCAAATTCCTAAGCTGCACCTAGGACATTAACAGGGATGACCATTTTAAAAAACTGGATACTCTATTTACTGACCTGAATGACTTTGAGAGGGGAAGTCATCTTCTATTGTCCATGGCTCTTCTCCCTGCTCCAATTTAATGATCACATTTGGTTTGGTTACATCATACCCTGTTAATAAGAAGTGAAGAAGGACTCAGACTAGCTGGCTGTCTTTAGAATCTATGCAGTGTAGGATGACTTGCCTCACAAGCTGCGTAACAAAATGCCCCATCTTTTTTACCTTATAAAAATTTTTTACCTCTCAATGGAGAAATAAAGTTACAAACATTCAACTTAGGCCCAAAAGGAAATAAAAGATCTTATTCAAATTCAAAGACAAAATCCTTAAATTGAAAGTGTTGAGAACATAAGCTGTCCTCACCCACAGAGACAAGGTTGCTGTAGTTCTCCAACATCACATCCCTGTATGTCATCTTCTCTTCAGGATCCAGCTGCTGCCACTCCTCTTGAGTGAAGTCCACAGCCACATCTTTGAATGACACTGGCCCCTGCAGCGGCACCAAATCAAAACTGGATGATGTGGAACAGAAACACAGAGACAAGATCTTCCCAAGCTCACTGGTAAAGTTAACTACAAACACTGTATACCTTATTTTATATTTTGAACTGTGAAAGAAATACAAACTTACTGGAAACACATTGCCTTTGAGTTCTTGAATATATAAGAAACAAAAAAGCAAAATTAAAAATCAAGGTACAACCGAGTTCCCATTTTACCACTGAACTATCTGAGTTTTCAACAATACCATTCCTGCTCTCAAAAGGATGACAGCCTAATGAGGAGATGACTTGTACACAAACATGCATTTTGCTCCTTCTCACTTCCTTCTGTTTCCTTTGCTGGCTTGTCCTTCCCTTCTCCTGGACCCCTTCATGGTTTAGCAACCGTGACACAGGCCCTGTCTCTTTCCTTCCCATCACTATTCTGCTGCTCTTGCCCAGTTCCCACTCTTTGATCTTTTGCCTCTTTCATCTGCACAGCCAGCTACTTTTGGCCATCTGCAAAATGAAGTTGTTTACCTCTTTCATCTTATTTCAAAATCTCATTCTTGCAGCAATATGTACTTTTTGTTTGAATGAATAACCAAAGGTATTATAGAGTGATGTGTGCAAGTGGTGTAACAAAAGGAAATCAAACTATTTTTAAGTTTATGCTCTCAGATTAGGCTTTACAGATTTGGTTAATTTGAAGCCCCTAAGTATGAACCATGTACCTAAATTGAGATGAAAAGATGACGATGAAGTCTTAAATACCAATGGCAAAAACTGAAGCAGCATCAATGTTTAAAAGGTTGGTGTAGAACAGGCCAAAAGACACCAAGAAGGTCCTTTCCTAAGGACAGCTTTTGAGACAATAAGGGTCGACTGTAATTCAAGAGGGTAAAGTGAATGTACACAATTACTTTCCTGCCTCAAAAAGAAACAAAAAAGCCCAAGTCAAACAGAAAAAAAGAGATTCATTCTCCTAAGAGCAGTGGAACACAGAGGCTAGGAAATTAGGAATTTTTCCGAGGACATCTTTGAGGTCCAGAGAAGAGTAAAAGACCAAAAGAGCCTGGAGCCATGAGACACAACTTTATACAGAGGCTAATGGGCTGCAGCCAAAGCAAACAGCAGGTTCTCCAGTAGAGCCCTTAAGAATCTCCAAATCCATGGCAGGCCTAGGGCTCCTGTGGGTAGCATAGTGATTGGCTGAGTAGCTCACATGGTGATCTGATTTAAGCACACTTAACAGCTAGATGAATGGTGGATCTGATAAAAACCCTCTGGATATGGCAGTACAGAGACATGGCAGGGTATATAATAACAGACGTCTATCACTAGGACAACCATAAATGCATTGTCCAAAGAGAAAACTTCTGTCTGGGACAAAGGATAAACATAGGACACTTGGAATATAAGGGCAATCCAAGATTGTTCCAGGTAAACCAGTACATACATATTCAACTCTATCCATATTGGATATGGATTCTTTTTCCCTAAAGGCAGACTCTAAAAATATATTCTCAAAGCAACAAGTCTCAAAGTTCTCAAAGCAACTTGAGCAAATTACTTAGTACATAAAGACTGGATTGTTGAACTGCTTTAAAAACTATCATGTAAGAAACTTGATTAACAAATGGGACACAAAATATATAATTTACAACACAAAACTGAGATCCAACAGGTTCAACATTTTCATAAATAAAGAACAAAGAGGATAAACAAAATAAATAACTAAAGACAAAATTGAAAATGACACCCAGGCTGAGGAAACATGTAAGCCTTCTCATCAAAAAGGGCCTCTAATTTACAAACAAGAACACTGGGGAGGAAAATACAGAGATCCAGAAATTTCCTGATAAAATATCTTAAAATAGAGGTCTAGGGATGTAGCTCAGTGGAAGAGCACTTGCCTTACATGGGTAAAGTCCTGAATTTGATCACTAGCACTTCTAAGACAAAACGAAAAACCTAAAGTTTAAAAGTCCTAAAAGCCAAGTATGGTGGTGCACACTTGAAATCCTAGTGACTTGGGAGGTTGAGGCAAGAGAACTGCAAGTTCAAAGCTAGCTTCAGCAACTTAGTGAGACCCTGTCTCAAATAAAACATAAAAGGGGCTGAGGTAAAGCATCCTGGGTTCAAATCCTAGTATGAAAAAATTCCTAAAATGTTATCAGGAAAAAAACACACTATTAATCCTGGTAACTGACATTCTACTTCTCATCTGATAGAATACAATGAAGAACTGCCCACAAATTTAAAAGAAAAATGTAAGATTTGGAACCTAGAACTGTACAGTAAGCCAAACTATTATTTAAGCCTGTGGGCACTTTAAAAGATACTTTCAGAAAAGCAAGACAATTTATTACCTAAGAACATAATTTCTTTAGAACACTCAAACCTTAGTGAAACATCAGCAAGCAAGGGTTTTCAGTGTTGTTGTAAGAAGCAGATCTGGGGGGCTGGGGATGTGGCTCAAGCAGTAGCCCGCTTGCCTGGCATGCATGCGGCCCGGGTTCGATCCTCAGCACCACATACAAACAAAGATGTTGTGTCCACTGAAAAAACTAAAAAATAAATATTGAAATTCTCTCTAAAAAAAAAAAAAGCAGCAGATCTGGGGACTGCAAACATATAAAAAGGCAAGTACTCAGTGAACATGTTACATTCTATTATAAAATATGCATTAACCCCAAGAGGACATCCACCGGTGCAGCCACAACTATACAGGACCCCAGAATGACCCCCTAAGACAGCAAAGGTAGAGCTGCTACCTCAAGCAGAGCATCCAAGTTTATCCACAGGTAAGAAATTAGCTGACAAATTCCCTCATAGAAAGTAGATTCTTATGGAGTAAGTTATTTTAGAAGGCAGTGGTACTGTGGGGGTTACAATAGATATCAACAGATAACATAAAATTATATACCAGTATCATTTGTCAATATAGCTAAAATAAAATGCTAACAAACAAAATCCAATACCAGGTTTAAAAAATATTATAATTACCAAAGAGGACTTATTTTAAGACTATAGGTTAGATAAGCATATAAAAAAACTATGAATATGGATTATAATACAACTAAGAAAACTTTTATATCTCCTGAAAAAGCCTGATAATACTTAAAATGCACACCTGATTTAAAAACTCAAGAAAATAGAAATCAATGGATACTAAAATCAACATTTATACACATACATTAAGACACAAGCATACTCTTACACTCTAATATGCACAGTATATACACATACACACATATGTATCAAACACAAGCACATGTATATACTACTAAGTTCACGCACATATATATAAATACACATACACATTTATGCTTCAGTCCTATCAGTACCAAAGTAAGGATTATTTAATGGGAAAACATATACACACTCCCAGTAAAACCAGGAACAAGGTTAAATGCTCATTATCTCTAATTAGAGAAGAGAAAATAATTAGAGGAATACAACTGATTAAAACAAAAACTAATTCTATTTGTAGATGACATAAAAACTCAAGGGAATCATTGATGAAAACTTTAAAATACTCCTGAAAGACAGTGAAGTAGACATGGACAAATGAAATGTTTCTTGCTTTGGTGTAAGTAAATTTAATAATACAAAATTTCTGTTACCCTGTTATTTTATAAATATGAGATCTCAACAAAAAATATCAAAAAGCCTTTTCTTAAAAAGAAATAGCTTATGAATAAAAAAATATGGATATCTAAAAAAAAGCCTTTTCTTGGAACTAGACAAGCAAATACTAAGGTTCACATAAAGAAGGAAAAAACTGAGAATAACTATGAAAATATTTTAAAAAGTTACAAAGGGGGCCTAACACTACTGGATTTCTGGATTTAAAACAATGCCTCTATGATTAAAATAGTTTGGTAGGGCTGGGGTGTAGCACAGTGGCAGAGTGTGTGCTCAACACATGTGAGGCCCTGGGTTCAATCACCAGCACCAAAAAAAGTATGGTACTGGTACATGAGATAGATCAATAAAAAATAAAATTTAAAAAAATATAAAAATTAAAAAATCATGGTTACGTGATAATGAGAACATCTCAAACCACTGAAGCAGAACTGATTTTTAATAAATGATGCTATGGCTGGGTGTGGCCTGGGTCCCCCAAAAGTCCATTTTGATTATAATCTTGGTCCTATTATCGTGACACTATTGGGAGGTACTTGAATTTTGAGAGGTGGGACCTAGTGAGTTCTTAGGTCACTGGAGATCAGAAGACACAGTGGGACTCCAGTCTCACACATTTCCCATTTGGTGGCATAAGCTCTTACACACAAGCACCTATACCATGATGTGATGTAGCCAAAAACGAGCTAGTGCCAGCATCACACCTTGGTCCTGCAAAACTGTGAGCTAAATAATAAATGACTTTTCTCTTTATAAGTTGGTTACCTCCAGTATTTCTAAAGTTGACAATAAAATGAAAGACAAGTGATAACCATTTTGACATGGATTAAACTGCACTCATACCTTACACCAACCAGGCGAGTGATCTAAGTGTTAAAAAAAAAAAAAAATCAAACCATACCAAAAAAAAAAATAAATAAATAAGTGAATTTACTAAAGGAGAAAAATGGAAGTATACTATTGTAGGCTTCTTATATTTTTAAGTAAAATGGTGTATTTCTATAAGATAAACTATTGATAAAGTTGCACACCATAAATTCTAAAACACTTATTAAAGTAACAAAGCAGTATTATAGTTAATACCCAACAAAAGAAATAAAATGGGATCGTAAAATATAATCAAGGGGCTGGGAGTGTAACTCAGTTGCATATCACTTGCCCAGCACCCATAAGGCCTTGGGTTCAACCCCTAGCACTGCAAACAAAACAAAACCCCAGTCAAAAGGAAGATTAAGAAGAAAAAGGAAACAATACACGGCAAATAGAAAACAGACAATAGACTATAACTTAACCAGACACAGCAATAATCACATTACATGTAAATGGTCTAAACACCCCCAATTAAGAATTGTCAAAATGGATAAAAAGAAATAAGGTCCAACTCTAGGTTACCTATAGAAATACACTTTAAATATAAAGACAAACAGGTTAAAAGTAAAACAATAGATAAGATATACCATGCCAACATTACTATAAAGAAAGCCAAAGTGGAGCTGGGGCTGGGGCTCAGTGGCAGAGAACTTGCCTTGCAAGTGTGAGGCACTGGGTTTGATCCTTAGCACCACATAAAAATAAATGAATAAAGATATTGTGTCCATCTACAACTACAAAAATATTTTTTAAAAGAAAGAAAGCCAGCCAAAGTGGCTTTTTAAATAACAGATAACATTTCACAGCACAAAACATTGCCAGAGGTAAGGAAGGCCATTTCACAATATCAAAGAGGTTAATTAATCAAGGACATAAAAATCTTGAAGGTGTATATATCTAATAAAATACATTAAGTGAAAACTGATAGAACTGCAAAGAGAAATAGACAAACCACAGTTGCAGGAGGAGATATCATGTCCCCTTGCACAATCAGTTAGGATAAAAATGCCTCATTCACAATAGCCTCAAAAAACATAAAATACCTGGGAATCAATCTAACAAAAGAAGTGAAAGACCTCTACAGTGAAAACTACAGAACACTACAGAAAGACACTGAAGAAAACCTCAGAATATGGAAAGATCTCCCATTCTCCTGGATAGGCAGAATTAATATTGTCAAAATGGCTATATTACCAAAAGCGTTATACAGATTTAGTGCAATTCCTATTAAAATCCCAATGACATTCTTCATAGAAACAGAAAAAAACAATCATAAAATTTATTTGGAAAAAGAAGAGACCCAGAATAGCCAAAGCATTTCTTAGCAAGAAAAGTGAAGCAGGAGGCATCACAATACCAGACTTTAAACTATACTACAGAGCTATAGTAAAAATAATGGCATGGTATTGGCACCAAAATAGACATGTAGATCAATGGTACAGATTAGAGGACCAGAAATAAACCCACATAAATACAGTTCTGTTATACTAGACAAAGGTACCTAAAACATTCACTGGAGAAAAGATAGCCTATTCAACAAATGGTGCTGGCAAA